TCCACATTGTCCAGTGCTGCTCCTGCAAAGAATTGTAATTTTCAGTCCTGCTCCCGCCCGCATCTGCGACATTGTTCAGTGCTGCCTGCTGCAAGTCCCGCAAGATGGGACATCCTTTCAGCTCTGCTAAGCTCTCTTATTAAACATGAAGAAGCTGAAAGGAATTATCTAAAATGTGCACGAGATTAGACCACGTCTGCAAGTTTAGGCTACTTAAAATGTTTATTAATGCCAAATAAAATATCCAGGACAAATGATGCATGATAGCCATATATTAATCATTTGTATATTTTACTTTACACTCATATTTAGCTTGCGGGACTGCCATTTATCATCCCACCCACCCGCTACTGCCCGCGCCCACAATGAGCTTTCAAAATGTGTCCTGTGCCATATAGTTTTGCGTCATCCCGCGGTTCCAGGGCAGGGCTCTACCTCAGACCAATTTTTCCTGGCCCTCAGGCTTCCAGGTGAATTGGCCTAAATTACCTTAAGCAGAACTTTTTTTACTGCAAGTTTCTTTTTTTTTTAAACCTTGAAAGACAATATAAAATATTTAGTGTGTGCTTTTTAGGATCTAAGACTGATGGCTCCCTTTACTCATTCTAACTTGTTGAAAAAGCACATATTTCAGTCTCTCTGTGTGTGTTTTGATGTGGCCCTATATGAAAAAAGTTTGGACACCCCAGCCCTAAGGTGTGAACTGTCACTTGAGTCTAAAAAACAGTGATGTACAGCAGAACCCTGTCAGGACTGAAGTAGCTATTTGGATGCGTATTCACTCTCAGAGAACATTTGTCCAGTTGTCAGAATTCAATTTTCTTTTGCAGTGGAACCTATACTGGGATGACTGACATTAAAGACGCTGTACCGGATGTGTTTCTGTCTTAAAAACATGACAAACTGAACTAGCTCGTTTTACAGTTTGCAGTGATCCAAAGTTATTCTTCACTTACTTTACACATTCTGAGTGTCCTAATAATTCACCACAATGAGTTTATAAGTGCTTTCCACAACTTTCATTGGCCAGAGCAGAGTTCTGCCATCACAGTAACACTAACAATGATAAAACACTTTATAATTACATGCAGACAATACACACTTATTTTGAACTCAAGAGCTGCCAATACTATAATAATGTCTGCACTGGAGCAAGACCAGTGGTGGAAGAAGTACTCAATTTTGTTACTAAATGAAGGTAATTTTAATTTTTTTTTTTTAAACTTAGTTCAGTACAGATAGCAAAGCAAAAAAAAAAAGAAGAAAGAATCAAGTTGTTGTAAATTAACCAGTATAACTAGTTAACCAGTAATGCTTTATTTCGCTCAGGCATTCCTAGGTAGCTCAAGGGTCCTTGAAAGTGCCGTGGTTACGCTACTTCTGGCCTAAGTGCTGTAGCTTCAGCTTTAACCTAGTTAAAGTTAAAGCTGATAGCTCTGATAGAGATTAACAGATGAAAGGACAAACAGAAAGGTACAAGAAAGGGCATTAAAGCTCCACAAATACATTCAAGTGTCCGTCTTCACTCTCTGATCGAAGTATTGTTTGGATGAAGTGTCCAGCATTCATCACATACAGTCTACAGTCCTAAGATACCTCCAATACAAGTAACTATAAAAGTATCACATGAAAAGTACCTGCTTTACAGTGTACTTTTAAAGTAAAAAGTAAAAGTATTTTGCGCAGTTTAAAATCTAACAAACCTTCAAATGTAATGATTTGATTTTGATTTGTGCTGAATTTTGTTCTTTTTTTTCCTTCCTGTTTTTATTTGTGCATTTGTGTTTGCTCATACTACAACCTTGAAAAAATAAACACTGCAGAGTTTTCAGCAGGTCTCACTCAATAACAAAAAAACAAAATACTTTTAGTTTTCAGTCCAGTGCAGATACCTGCTCTAAAATGTAGTAAAAGTAAAAAGTATCGACATTAAAATGTACTGTAAGTACAGATACCTACATTTTAAATTTAAATACAGTACTTCAGTACTTTTACTTTGTTAAGTTCCAGCACTGGGCAAGACTAAGTTCACTCAAACGCATGGGAAAAAAGTCAGGTACGGCGCCTTTTAAGATGTTTTTTGCAGTTGACAGAATTCAAACATTTTTCTTGGCAATATGTGGGAATCGTTTTTATATCTTCACAAGTACTAGAAAATCTTCACAAGTGCAAACACTGTGCCCACGTCCAAACAAACTTAATTCCCACCACATTCCATCGTCCCATATCAGCATTGCAGGACACGGGCAGCTAAAGTGAGAGTGTAATGGCTTCTGATCAGAACTGCTCGGACAACAGCTCAAATAAACACTGATTTATGGGATTAAAGCAATTTCGCTCATAATCTCCACCTCTCCTCCAGCAAAAGCTCATTGAAATCAAATACAACGCAGAGAGTATCAACACCAGCGCAGTCTGTGACCCATTCTGACTTTGAGTCACTATTCTGGTTTCCTCAATAAACATGTTTTATTATTCAAAGTTTTAGTTTCTGTTCAAGAAAAGACATCACCAGCGTCACTTTTTCTTTCCCACACTGACTTGGATTGGTCTGATATTGTGCTTTACAAACTTCTCAAAATGTAACAGGCCGTATATTCATTCATGCCAAACATCAAGCTACTTCTGTAAAGCACAACAGTCTAAACCCCCTGTGGTTCTGTTAGTCATTATCCCATTATTTTTTCCCTATATTTGTTCATATAGTCCTTTTTCTGTAACATGATTTATGTCAGTGTCTCCCAGTCTGCCCAGTCACACCCAGACATCTGCACCTCACCCCAGTTCTTTTATTACTCCACTGCTTTCCAGTCTCTTTTAGAATAGAGTTTGAAACTATTGTTGTTTTTACAACTCGCTTGCTCCTCCTTATTTGCCTGAATTATTTATTATTTCCTGTCTGTTTGAAACTCAAACAAAGGGCCTGACGCCTCATTTAAGGTCCGGCAACAAAACATATCCATATCTACTCAGACTGGCTTTCAACACTCAGTAATGCAGTGACACTTTGCACTTTTTTGTTTCATTTCATTGTTTAAAAGTTGTGTGTAACTTTTCTGGTAGAGGGTCTGTCAAATGCTTGTCTCCATGGAGGTGCTATTGATTTATCTATCTTCATGGAGACCAAACCAGACCAAGTTGGAGATCAGATCTATGGAAAGGCAACCCCACTCACAGTTAGAATACTTGTATTTCTGGTTATTTTTGCCTGCAGTTTACTAAATTTAATTTTTAAATGTAATTTCTAATGTAATACTGTGGAACACTACAGGCCGAGCAGTCACATGTCCATAGAAAGAAGCAGATGACAGACCCCCAACCAAAAACTTACATAGTGCCTTTAACATTTTGCGTGTTTTCATATTGTTGATTTTATTGGAAAGCTCTTTGGTCACCTTGAACATTGCACAGAGCTCTATAAATAAAGACTGGCTGAAAATAGTAAATACCAAACAGAAGCTTGTCAACAATGTAGTACGTAATATCCATGATCCAATTATTTCAGCCAAAAAAACTAGTTTGGCTAAAAGGTTTTGACAGTGTTGTGGTTTATTAATTAAAGGTGCACCATGTAACATATCTGCTGGAGGCCTGCTGGTCTCCATGGAGATGTTATTGTGTTTCTTGAAATGTTCCACAGTACAGCATTCCTATATACTTCTCTATCTACAAAGGTCAGATGGCAGGAGAGGAGACCCTGCTCACAGTAAACGTGGATGAAAGAAGGTACCATATTTTCCAGACTACTGAAAAATCAACTACATCAACTAAATTTTAACTAAATATTAAAACTACATATAAAGACCGCACTTCAATATAAGCCGCAGGTGTCCACGTCTTCAAGAACATTTTCACGTTCGGGACATCTGCTTTTATCACCTCTGAAAGCTTTTGTCGTCTTTTTGAGTCAGTTGGTCACTCTGCCATCGCCAAAATCTCACCATCGACTCATCGATGCCGAGCTCACGTGCAGCAGCTCTGTTTCCTTCTTCCACAGTCACATCAAACGCTGCATCATCTGCATTTCTTCATGTATTTTCTACGAGAAGGGTGTGTGCATGAAGCGCAAAATAACTGTTCAAAACACAATCAAACGAGCATCTTCTTCAGTCCGTCACCCCTACGGCGCATAACTCCTGCAAGAGTGGCTGTTCTGTTTGCATCATGTCAGTGACTTGGAGAATTTCAGCAGATTTCAGGCTTTCTCGAGGGGCGGGGCTAGTTCTATCAATCAGGCTTATAGTCCGGAAATTACTGTATTTTTTATATTAAGACGACTGTAATTGAGTGAATCAAAGATAGATAGGTTTAATGCCATACTGTGGAAAATTACAGACAAAGCAATAACGTTTCCACCCCCCTCCCACACCAAAAAAAGTTATATAGAGACTCGGTTTTGTGTGAGAAAAATGAATGGGCGTAAGCTTGGGGAAACACAAATGTGGCTGCCAATCTGACTGCCGCCACCAATCGCTCATACACCACTTTCACACAAGCAAGAAGCAAGGTGGGTGAAGTGTCTTGCTCAAAAACACAAAAGTAGAATGGACAGGATTGAACTACCAACCCTTTCAAAATATTGTAATGGGGATGCATGATTTAAAAACAAAAAAATTCCACTTGCTTTTTGAACAGAAATGCTTTCAAAAGATATAAAATCCAAGTGAGGAAAGATGTACTATGGCAAGAAAATGTTCAATTCTTCTGGCACGGTCTATTCCAAAAGCTCCCCGCTGTACTGTATAACTCTTCCTCACAGTAGATGCGTTTTCCATTAGTTGCAATTACAAGCTATGGTGCTAGTCGGCCAAATTTAAAACACATCCGATCACTTTATGGGCCTTGTGCTGCTCTTGTTTGTTGCCAGTTTAGCATCTCCACTCTTCCTTCTTCTTTTGCTGATCCTGAAAACTAATTCCATCTTTTTCCATCTTCTAAAAAGTTAGTGGAAGATTAGATGGAAGCTTGTCTGTGAGTTCAGCCCCAGTTCTTGTCTCTGATCACACAGAGGAGACGTTGCCTGTAGAAGGAGGCCCGCCCAGCTCCCCTCTGGTCCGTATTGTGATTTGGGTGATGCTGCGTTTGGCCGGGGTCAGCTGGTTCTGATTCTGACACTTCCATAACCACCGCCGCAGCTCTGCTTGGACCTGGAGACAAAAATACAGATGAAATATTAATGAATAAGGATAGAAAATGCATGAGCAATTTGTTTGTTGAACTTGATTGCACTTGATTCTTATTGTCTTAAAAACATGCACCAGGGACTACAGGTGGAATTTAGCTCTGGTGCTACAATCTGGCACAATGCATCTGTCCTGTTAAGGTTAATTTATATTGTGCACTGTCCCTGTCTCATAAATAAACTAAATAAATACAAATTAAAAATATGGAAAAAATTGAAGTAGTTCATTTTAAACAGTGGGCCAATGTTTTCCTCACTTACCTCAGGCATTCCGAGCATCCTAATTATTCATCGTGAAGAGTTTATAAGCACTTTTCACAACTTTCAGAGATAAGGACGGAATATTGCCATCAAAAAAAAAAAAAAAAAAAAAAAAAAAAAGCTGACAACAACTAGCATGCTAACAGTGCACTTCTCTGAACCTGAAGCTTTACAATAAGATGCAGAAAATAAACAGCAATGTTATTTTGACATCAAGAGCTGCTTATGCAAGATATTTGTACTGAGCAAGGCAAATTTTCCTCAAATACATGAAAAAAATATGATTACAGGGCCTTTCAGTCTGCTCAAATAATAATGCTCCCAATTTCCATCCATCCATCCATTTTCTTCCACTTATCCAGGGCTGGGTCACGGAAGCAGCAGTCTAAGCAGGGACTCCCAGACTTCCTTCACCCCAGACACGCCCTCCAGCTCAACGAGGCATTCCCAGACCAGCCGAGAGACATAGTCCCTCCAGCGTGTTCTGGGTCATACCCAAGGCCTCCTCCCAGTGGGACATGCCCGGAACATCTCCCGAGCGAGGCGCCCAGGAGGCATCTAGAACAGATGCCTGAGCCACCTCAGCTGCTCCTCTCGACGTGGAGGAGCAGCGGCTCTACCCTGAGCTCCTCCCGTGTGACTGAGCTCCTCATCCCATCTCTAAGGGAGTGCCCAGCCACCCTCATTTTGACCGCTTGTATCCGCATTCTTGTTCTTTCGGTCATTACCCAGAGCTCATGACCATAAGTGAGGGGAAATACAAAGACTGACCGGTAAATTGAGAGCTTTGCCTTTCGGCTCAGCTCCCGCTTTACCACAAAGTCCGATACAGCGACCGCATCTCTGCCGACGTTGCACCCCAGTTTACAAATCATAAATCCCAAATCAAATTGAAATGTTTGTCAGAAAAAAAGTCCACTCCTACAAATGCTTAAAATGAAGTAGTACAAATGGGATAACAGGTGAAACAATGTTTTAAATGACAACAAATACACTATTTGAGGGTTTCACCTCACACTACCTAAACAGTCAGAGCAAAAGAAGTTTTACACTACATGACTTTTATCTAAAAATGAATTATTTATAACAGATGATATCAAAGGAAATCACACAGGTTCAAATGTATTCCATCTTTTTCAAGACACAGTTGACTATATGCTGCTCCCTTGAGAGACACAAATTTCCATACATGAAGATGACAGGAGGAGGAGCAGTGTCGATTTCGAAAAGACATTTAGGCACAGTGAAAAATCCAACATGCCATTTAGGAAATTCTTGTTCACATCCATCTAACAGTCCTTTTACAAATTGCAGTTGAAACAAAATGACCACAGGAAAGTGCAAATAATTGTAGCTTTGAGAAAAATGGTTTAAGACGTGGATGGTATTGGCAGAATAGTCAGAGAGACGTCAATTACCTACCTCTCCATTCATGAAGCAGTAGAGAAGAGCCACTACAAAGCCCTGCAAGATAAAATGAGGACATAAAAACATATAGCGTGTCATTACAGTAATGCAGTTTTCAGCTGCTGTGGGCTATGGGTTTGGTTTGGACCATGTATAGTGCATTATTGTGCGCCTGTCACTGTGACATGTGGGAAACTTTTGGTAGCATTTCTAGTTATACTGTAATATTTTTTTAATACAGAAACCAAATATTTTATCATTCATTCTTTACGGTAGCATTGCCCTGGTTTAGTTACAGTTTAAAGGTGAATTATATGACGTCCACCACCTGCTTTGCTTTCACAGTATTTCATTTAACTAATTTATATTTATTGAGACAGACAGGTGTCACCTCATGTAATGCCTGTAAGTGAATAAATGATGATAGATACATTAAACATGGTCGGTGCCATACTGTGGAACATTTTAGGGCTAGGCAAAACATCACATTATTAGTATGTATTTGTGCAGCACTTTGGAAGCTGTTTATTTGTGAAATGTGCTATATAAATAAAGTGGATTGGATTGGATTTAGGGGCTCTGTACATAATTAAGTCCAATCCAAGGCTTGGTCCAATTTTAGTCTCATATTTAAAACAGAAAAAGCATCTCCATGGAAACAGTCAGTAGCAAACCCCATCACTGCAAAAGTTACCAAATGCAAGTCGTCATAGGATATATTTTACTACTTCTACAGGTTACAATGTTCACCTGATTAAAATTCCACATATTGTTTTAAATATGACATCATGGAAAAAAAGCTGACTATAAAAGGCATTTGTTCTTTTTAAAAATGTGTCTTAAAATAATTATTGAAGAAATCACTGACATACAAACTAAACATTGCATTCTATCATTGTATAAATTTGACAAAGGAAAGATAATAACTAAAACTAACATTTACTAGTTCTCAAATAAAGAGGAAAGCTGAATAAATATTGTAGGGGCGTGTGTGTACCTGAAAAGACCCCAGGCCCAGCTCGATGTAGAGGCGCGCTGCCACGCCGGTGGTCTCTGGCAGGAACGCAAACACAGTGTAGTGCATCCCAAACAGAGGGATCAGGAACAGAGTGGACTTGGCCAGTCTCCTGCAGAAACAAGACAACATACAGTCGGCATATGAGAGGAAACTATATGTATACTGATCAGGCACAACAATCCACTTCAAAAACAACAACTATTACTACTTCTGCTACTACTAGTACTATAGACAAAACAATAACAATAATCACTTTACTTTACCCAGTCTCCTGCAGGAATAAGGCAACACAGGCCTATGAGAGGAGATTATATGTACACTGATCAGACACAAGTTACAACTAATTTTACTTCTGCTACTACTAATACTATTATTATAACTACTACTATCACTACTACCACTACAGCCAGTCTCCTGAAGAAAAAAGGGAACATAGGCATATGAGAGCAAACTATATGTACACTGATCAGACATGACCACCTACTACAACAACTACTGTTGCTACTATACTTCTACAACTACTAGTACTACAGGCAACACAGAGGAAAATATATGTACACTGCACACTATATGTACATTATGTCCAGCTACTATTACTACTGTTGCTGCTGCTATTATTACTTCTACAATCTATTTATCTATCAATTTTAGTAGGTTGTCTTGGAAAAATAGTGTGTTTTTTATATATTGAATATTTATTGTGATCTTAGCCAAGTGTGATAGATGAATTCAATTATTTATTTATGGAACAAAGCCATTCTGCACTGGAACACAGGAGCACTTTCTTTTGTAATTGTGTTTGTATACGTGTTTATTGTACATAATGTGGATGAAAGAAATGTGAAATGTGGGACCAGCCTCTCAAATCTGAAAAACATAACCTAACAACTACTTGTAGTATAGCCAACTCAATAGCGATAATCTCTATACTTTTGTTAGTCTTCTGTGGTAATAAGGCAACACAGGCATATGAAAGAAAACTGCATGTACACAGATCAGACACAATATTGAGACCAGCTACTACTACTTTGTTACTACTACTATTAAGTACTACAACTACTACTACCATATAATTCCTCCAACTATTTTTAGAACTACTATTGCCAGTACCATAGGTCTAAACACTACAGGCTGATTCATACAAGGAGCGGCGGCTCCATCACAGCAAGTGAGTATGGGTGATTCCAGCTCCATCGACTCCGGTTTCAGCTCACTTTGTATTTAAAAATGTCACCTCTCTCTCTGTAACTGCTGCTGTCTGACTGGTCATTTTGTTCTTAAAATGTTTATATTAACCCGTTCTACATTATTCTGGTGTTTTTATTTGCTATTCTGTTCATAAATCAAAATCCCATTCCTAATATGGAACTCCAAATTCAGCCTATTTGACTGGAGCCAAACAATATGGGTGATGTAACCTCCCATAGTCCACTTCTGTATACAGTCCATGGCTACTACACATACATGCTTCAACAAAAGCAAATCACTGAGAGAAATTATGTACATGGATCACTGACCACCAAATACTGTTAGTAATATTACTACTTGTATCTTGTATGTAATTGTCCATTTGTTGTTTGTCAGTGGTCATAATATTTGGCTGCACTGTACACAGCGCAAATATCAGTCATCGCATTCTTAATTCTTTTCGGCAATCTTCATGAGTACTGAAATACCACAAAAGTCAAAGTTTTTTCTTGCGTAAAAAGCAAAAAAAAGGGCTGACATTTCAGACAGCGCCATCGCCAGGTCAATCATAAGAATTCATTTGGAAATGTCACAACACAGACAGGTGGTGTGCAGGTGGGAGCAGGTTTATTCAGGTCACGAGAGCTCAAATTTAAATGTCGACATTTAATTGTTCTGACCTCACCTATGACGTCACAAGGAAACCTCTGGCCATAGCAGGACTGGAACTGCTGAATCATCCAGTACCCTATAATAATGTCATTGCATTATTTTTCATTTCATATATTTATTAATTTTATTTGATTAATTATTCAGTTTATGAGCACATTTCTTGCTGGTCAATCCTTTTAATACAATTCTTGACTACTGTAACTCTTTGTGTGCTGGATTGACCAGGCCCAGCTCAGCCGCCTACAGGGGGGTCAGAATGCAGCAGCTCGCATTTTAACTGGAAAGAAGTGGAGGGACCATATCACTCCTGTTCTTAAATCCCTGCATTGGCTCCCCATACATTTTAGAATCCATTTTAAAATTTTGATTGTTTTTAAGAGTATTAATGGCATGGCACCTTCCTATTTATTTGAACTCCTTCAGCCCCATGCCCCGTCCAGAGGGTTGCTATATGCAGACCAGCACCTCCTGGTTATCCCTAGAAACAGGCTGAGGATCAGAGGAGATGGGGCCTTCTCTGTAGTTGGCCCACGATTACACTTGGACATTAGAACTGCACAGTCACTGGAGCACTTTAAATCCTTGCTTAAAATGCACCTTTTCTCCTTGACATTTGCACAGAGTTAGGAAGAGACATCTTGGCACCTCCTGCTGTTATTATTATTATTTAAATTTTTATCATTATCATTCTGGTTGATTTGTTTCATTTCTGTGTTCAGCACTTTGGTAAGCTTTGGCTGTTTTAAATGTGCTATACAAATAAATTTGATTTGATTTGAATTCATAAAACAGAATATAACTTTTCTGGTGGAGGGTCCATTACAGGCTATTCTCAAGAGAGATGTTTGGAATATTTCACAGTATAAGACTTTCTGTCTTCATGGAGACCAAAACAGACCAGGTTACAGCTCATATCTGTGGAGAGGCAACCCCGCTCACAGTATTTTTGAGCTATAAAGCCACTTGTGATTGAATCAATCTAAAGTAGAGCTGTTTAATATCATACTGTGGAACATTTCAGGTAGAGCAATGACATATCCATGGAAACAAGCAGGTGACAGACGCCCAACCAAACAATGCCATACTGCACCTTTAATATACAACTTTTTCTGTTCCCTCAACTGTTGTGTTGATACCTTTGTATCATAATTTTTTTCTCAATCAATCAACATTTTCTGAACTTGTTTTAAATTTTTGTAAATTTTCAATAATTCCAGATATGCCTATAGTCACTGGAAATAGAGATTCAGGAGTTGTCACAGGAGTTGTTTACTGACTGAAGAACCCAAAGTGAGCTCCAGTGTTGTGAGGCCAGACAAGGTCAAAGGTGTTATAAAAGAAAAATGTGTTATGCTGAGTAATCGAATGTAGAAGTGTATAACACCTGAATACAAAGATGAAAAAGAGAAACACCTGAAATCTTTATCTGACTATAACAGCAGCCTGGTCTGTTCTCACACACACCTTTATCCTCTCTGATTTCAGACACATATAAGCCTGTTTTGCACTGTGAAGCCTGTAATATCATTGAATTGGATTGAAGTGTTTGAAGCACATTTGAGTATCCAACTTAGACCGAAGCTTTGTGAAAACTGTCTGGAACAATCCTGTCACACTTCAAAAACTTCTACACGTCTATTTAGGGAATCAAGTTTCTATTTTTGCTCTCCTCCAAATGAATTCATCTGAGCCAGACCCTGCAGCAGCCCACAGTCAAAGGGAACGGTGTTTGGTGACGAGAGAGATTTGAGATTCTCCCTGAAGCTCAAACTCAAACTAGACGGAGATGCGTGTTTGAAATTGTTCATGGGATCCTCTGCCCCTCCCTCAGTCCCACCCAGTATTGCAGTGAATATTGCATAATGTCTAACCTGGCTCGTCTAATTGTGTGTGTAATGCAGATTTAATTATAGTGGAGAAGCCTGGTATTATGATGTCGCTAAACCTAAGCATATACTTAGAAAAATGCATGGATTCTACTCATATATCAGTAAGTATTTAAAAACTACAGAAAATAGCATCAAGAGCTCATTATTTACAATACAATATAGTGTATTTGTGAGTAAAAAATACTTTGGTTGGATAGACTGCCTCCACGATACATGACAGATCTGTGGAGAGTGCACATTCTTCAAGCCAGGCAATGACCTCTCTATGGAGACAAGTAGGTGACAGACCACCCAACAAAAAAATTACATAGTGTGTTAATTAAATAATTAAATCAAAATCTGTAATCTATTTATTTTGTTTGTGTGCGTATAAATACGTTAATACATAAATATTGCAATTAGGACCGGGCACATTAATGAGTTAATTTTGCGTTGACTAATTAATTCATTATCGCCGACAATTATTTTTCTCCCCTTAATGCAGTTTTTATTTTTTTATTTTATTTTTTTTATTTACATCTGTTGCTCACTGACTTTTATTTTGAAAAAGTCCACTGCAAGCGAGCCTAGAATGTTGCTTACTGCTGCTGCGAACACAGAAAACAGAGAGAAAGAAAGCGGGATAAACAAACATGGAGAAGGGTGAGGAACTTTTACATGACCATTTTCAATTTAAAGTTCTTCCAGACGGTGCAGTCAAAACAGCCAAAGTCATTTGTAACACAATGAATTGGCTTATCATTGAAGTTTCACGAGTCTGAAATATCACCTAAATGCAACACACTTGGTTGATGCCGACAAATCATTCAATGAAACAAGTGGAGAGAGGCTTCGGCCAACCACGTGAGATACAAAGTGTCAGAGCCGTCGCTCTGCACACGCACATTTTGTGCACAGTGTGTAGGGCACCAAGTGCTCCCGGGGGCACCACCGCACGGTCCATCGCTCTTCGTGGCAAGCCCCTCCCCCCACCCCTGGTTGCACTTTTCTTCAGCGAGAAGCCGGTGCCAGCAATCACATTCTTAATAATAATAATAATAATATTCTTTTATGTCTTAGCAACTTACTTTGTTCAGAAAAGTAAAAAAAAAAGGTATGTATATGTACTGTTTTCTTGTTACTGTTTTTGACTGAGATTCTAATTTTTATATCAAACTAAATAACATCAAAGCCTCGGCAGTGGCAATAAATTTCAGTTTGTATTTGGTTTGATTCTTTCTGTTGAGATTTACACTGAATACTTTATTTTACTGGTGCTGATCACTTGCACTTTACTTTTGAATTCAAAAGTCAGATTCTAGGAATTGACAAACTGCACTGAAATTGGAAATTTAACTTTTGAGTATGATTCTCCAAAGGAAGAAGAATAAACATGTACTTTACAGACTAGTGTCCTACTCCTGTATAAAGAAATGCTGTGTGCACAACAGATGTGGCACTTCATTTTCAATAAAAGTGGGTTATACGCTTCATATACAATTCATTAATTGGTTTTGTGTATAACATGTGATTAATGCGATTCATATTTTTTTAATTTTTTGCCCAGCCCTAATTGCAACAAAATATTGCTACCAAAATTCCAGTAACATGGACTCACAAACAGCTCTATTTGTGCCTCAGCCTGTGTTGTTTTGTGTATTTCATTCATTCCAGCTGCACTGACATATTGCTACAGATCACACCTCACATCACACAGACTTGTTTGTGAATTTATTTTCCCTTTTTTCCTCCATTTTAGATAAAAGCAAAACTGAGGAAACATCCACAATGCTCCGAATGCAGCTCAGAGCCACACATCAAAGCAAAACATGCCCTTGTGTGTATTTATTTATTTATTTCTAGTGCATGTTCAAACTGCAACATGTGGAGATTGCAATCCTGTTACAACTAAGAAGGTCAGTCTTTATATTTTGGTCGCAGAATTATATGTTGAGCTGGTGGTGGAAATATAATTCGACATACGGATTTAAAATTCAAGATCAGAAAAGCCATAATGTGGAGTGTGGGGTCGGTATCTTAAACAGCACAGAGCATCGCTGTGGGGCTCGTGTGGATTGGTGTTTCATTGACCGATTGATGTGAGGGTCCTATGTCATCAGTCACAATCAGAGCCATTCCGTCAGAGGCCAGGACCACAGCGGAGAAACACAGCAAATCAGTTCAGTCCAGAGAGACTTTGAACATAATATCCCTTTTATAATGCTGGTCAAGACACGCTCAAGAAAGAAGTTCAACTGACAGTAAACTGGCCTGTACATCAATCCTCATCTTCTGGTCTGTATCTGCATTTGGCATGACTTATTTGATCTTATTTTATTTTTATTTTTTTTCTAACAGAGTTTTAATTAAAGCAAAATCCACTTTTCAGAGATTTAAGCCATGTTATAGTTGTTTCCTCTTCTCATTTACCCTCTCGAAGTTGTATTTGTAGTGATTTAGATTTATGCATGTTTGAGCAATTTTTAATAGCTTAAATTCAAGACGGCATATTGCCCAACAACTGCTGTTTTCACTGCCACCAGCATACACTCACTGCCCTGTACTTACTTCAGTTTCCAATTTTATTTTCTTTATCAGTGATCTGTGTAGGATTTGGCAACATCTTCAATAGTCTAAATGCTCTTTTCCTCCTTGTGATGTACACCTACAGTGGTAGTTTTGAAGTTAACAGCTATGTTTTATCTTTATAGTTCAGTCAAGATTGGCAATAGCAGGGCTGAAATCATCCAAATGAATGTCAAAAAAATGAAAGAAATGATCTTTAACCCCAGAGAGATAACATCACATGACCCTGTGGTCAGTAACAACGTAATAAAGCAAGAGTTTTTGTGCAACTATCTAGGAATAGAGGTGTCCATTATCCTGAGCTGGAGTGCTCATGTGGACTGTCTATACAGCAGATTGGCTCCACTTTCTCAGAAGGATGTGTTCATTTGGTGTGCAGCTCGAGGTCAGGCCATAGTTTACAATGCACTTCTAGCCAGTATAGTGAGACATGGCATGACAGCGTGGTGTAGCTCCCCACAGTGCAAAGCCAAACTGCTCAGACTGGTAAGTACTGCTCTAAAGTTGACAGAGGAAACCAGTGCATAAGCCACTACAATCCCTGTATTTGAAAGCTGTGGTCAGTCAGGTCAACAAGATTTTGAGTGATCCATCTCATGTTCATTGTCAGAATATGATTTGTGACCCTTTGGAAGGTGCAAGATGTCCTTCATTCCCACTTCAATTTTCCTCCTCCACAGGCCCCAACAGCCTCCTTCACTTCCCTCCTAGGGTGCTGGAGAGTCCTTCAGCTGTGGATCACAACCTTAGACCTCTGGCTCTTCTCTCATCTGCAGACCTACCATCTACACTACCAGTGCACACACCATGTTACTGTTTTTATACTCGTAGTCCGGTACTTCCTGTATTGGAGTATGAGTTATGAATTTTATGAACTGCAATCAACTGGAATAATTTCTACTTCTGTTCTGTTATATGATTCTAGTGCAGGTGTATGGAGTTTAAAAACACAGTGGAGAACTTCCTGTATTACCACAGGACATCAAGTTGGAACTCAGCCTAAATATGCAGGACCTTTGTGCTAAATGTGCATGAATAAAACAAAACAAAAGTCTATGTGTGTTTTTGATGATGAGGAAACAACATCATAACGTAGATCATAAAGTAGTGTAATATTTTCCCTATAAAACCATTTGTATCTCTCAAGAAAAACAGATATACAACTCAGGTTACCACAGGCCTTAATTATCACGTGACACCTTAGATTCCAATTTAAGAATGTTCTGTAAACGATTCAAAGAAGAAAAGAAACTGTGAGAAGGACCAAAGCCGGTAACTATTAGAGCTGAAATTAAGGAGATTACCGAAGTACTCAGGAATTTTCCCCAGTATGTCTTTGCAAATAAATATTAGCCAATGCTGGTTTCTGTAAATTGTTTGCAATGTCCAGTCATCTAAACCATAAAGAGTGCAATGGTGAGTGAGAGACTTGGCACTGTAGATAAACCTCAATGATTCTTGATACACAAAATCCAGTTTTTGTTCTTAGTAACCCTCAATGTTTTTCTAGAATGATTTTGGATAAATCTTTAAAAAAAGATGATCAAGAACAATCTGAAATGACGTAAAATTCTGTATACATAGTAAAAGACCAAGACAGCTACGCAGAATGAAAATAATGAGTTGAAATGAACTTACATAAAATGTCCTGTGTCATTGTTCCCCGCCATGGCTGATGACTTGAGCTTCTGGACCAGTATCCGGATCACATTCACAAAGATGACTATGTTAATCTGTGGGGGAGTTATACACAGAGAAAAACTCATTTAAGCAAAGCATCTTCCACAGCACCATGCAGCATGGAAGCTACCGGAAGTTATCTGAATGACCAAACTCACCAGCAGAGACGCCGTAATTGGACCTTTAATAATCCACCAAATAGGGACATTTTCGGTATCATCCCAACATCTGTAAGCACACCACAGTGATTCAATTACAGCCATTTAGAATAACATGGGACACTGCAAATTAATTCATTTGACCAAGAGTTAATTAAAATGCCATTTCATAACATGTAGATTGCATGGTTACCATTCTATATTGAGTCTGCATAGATTTTCATAAATAATTACTGAGATGTTGTATAATGGGATTTACAAATAGAGTGCACATCAACTAGTGTCCTTTGGTTGATAGAATGTGATTTATAGAGCTTTTAAAGGGCAGATGTAGACTAAGGCAAGGCTGCATATATAATCAAGACAATGTAAAACCTATAGTAGGCTTTACCTACTGTAAGTAATTATTCATTCGTGCATTGTGAACATGATATGCAGGGTTTTTTTTATACCAGATGCCCTCCCTGATGCAACCTTCTTCATTTTTCAGTTTTTGAGTGGCAATTTTCACCTTTGTTTTGCACACTGATCTGAAGGTTAGCAACAAGGCAATGCTGCCAATATTGCCATTGTGTCCATAGGCAAGACACAGAGCACGCACTAATTTGTGTGTTTGTGTGAGGCTGAACAGTTTGCTATTATTATGAGTAACAATATTATAATGTTTATTACTAATTACAACAGCAAGAAAAAAATATATATATCAATTTGGTCAAATTTGAAATAAAAATAAATCAAAAATCGAATTTATAACTAAATAAAAGCAGTGCCATACCCATTGTCATCATAGAAGAATCGCGTTAAGACCCAAAGAATGATCACTGTGGATGGGAGACCTGCACAGAGCACAGAGGCACACACATTAACACATACACAAACACAAATGTGCACGCTCACTTGTGTGAATGTCTATTACCTATTACCTTTTAAGATTATCAAGTCAGAAATTGTTCATATATATTAAATGTAATAAATACGTAATCAATGTCTTCAGAATATACTTCTCAGGTCAATCAGCTCTGGTTTCAAATATTTAATGACAAAACTTTTAATTAAAAATAAATTGTTCTAAATAGCTCAACTGTGTAGATTTTATTTTTTTCCCCTAAAATCCCAATGGAAATGTATTTAGTAGAAAGTGAAGTCATAAAAGTAGTAGACAGAGTCACAATTCTAGCTTGTCGTTGTAGTTGTACACATTTTGCTGTGGACTAATAGCTTCAGTACTGTAGCATTATCCTGGCTTGAGTTCAGATTTTGAGTACTTCTTCCACTTGTGCACGGTAGGCAAAAATATCTCCCTTAATGTGCATCAAATATTTATCTTGATTATTTATTCCAACTGAGACCCAGACACAAGATATAAAGAGACAGACAGTAAAATGTGAGGTATACTTCAAAGTACTGTGCTGTCAACTTCTTTGAGATACGGCGATAGAAAGAGCATGTATTTATTTAGGTCTTATAGGCGCTGTGTGAGGTGTGTGGTTAATAATTTATTATTAACACTGCAGCAGGCCATGTGATTGTGTGGATCATGTGTGTGTGTGTGTGTGTTAAGCCAGATGTTGGATGTAAATAATCATGACTGTATTTAAACATGTGCAGTTGGTGAAGACTCTATCTATCTTGTGTTATTTCATGTTTATCAGACTGCTCTGGTTTTCTGGACAGTAAAACTACAAATGTCAAACAACTGGAAACTGTTTTTGTTCATGTAAAAATTGTTTAAAGGTTTACTTTTTACTTTAGTTTTATCTTGTATACTGTAAATCTTGAATTATACTTTAAATTGTATATTGTATCTTCAGGCTTTCTTCTCCTCTGCTCTACCTTGTGATGTCATGTGGTAAAACAGGAAGTCTCCACTTTTAAACTCCATACAGCTTCACTAGAATCATTTGGATCATTTCATCTCTAAAATTGCCAATCTCTACTAAACTAAAGGTAAAAATAGCTGTTAACTTGAAAATTACCACTACTTGACATCCGAAGATGGAACAGGGCATTCTGAGCTTTGGCGATGTAGAGAGATTAATAACAACATGGTATGTTTTTGAGGAGCTGATATAACATAACATAGCAAAAATCTCACAAGTAATTTTGTTTTTTGTGTAATATAGGACCTTTAAAATTTAATATCACTGAATTTCAAATGTAGAATTTTATTAGGCTATTTATTAGGTTAGAACGCTGACAAATTAAAGGTTAAAACACCAAATCAATTTCTACTTTTCATTTCTTAAGTAAAGTTTATGTTACAGTACAGCTCTAAAAGAAGCAGTCATCTTTTATTTGCCCTTTACTAACCTAAACGAATGAGATTTGAACAGCCAGTACCCCTTACATCAGGTCTCCAACCTTTAGCCCGAGAGCTTCCAGTAGCTCTCCACCCCCTTCCAAGTAGCTCATCAAGGGGTTTCTGAATTATATGTATTGTGCTGAATAGGTAAAATGTGATTAATTAAATGCATGTACACCAATAAATGGATTATGGTTTATGTTCCACAGGCATCTCACTGTAAGGCTGCCGAGGCTCTTATATTCACACGTGACCGCTAAAATTAATAGCTCTCTGTCATTTTTATATGTTATTCAGGTAGCTCATTGGATAAAAATGGTTAGAGACTGCTGCCTTACACTGACAATGCCCCTTAAGACTGACAATGCTCCTTACATTGACAGTGTGCCCCTTAGACTGACAATTTTCCTTACACTGGCAGTGCCCCTTACGCTGCAGTGACAAGTGCAGTCTCCTGAAGCAGTAGACAGCTGAATAATTGATGGACTGATGTAAAGACAAGACAACTTGACATTTGGCTAAACAACACAACAGCCCCATAGCAACTTCTCATTAACAGGGCGCCTACTTCCTAATCACCCTAACACCATGTTTATTAAGACAATCCTCCACTGGGTATCATTATTAATATACACACTCTCCGCACAAAAGTTCACACAGGGTCGGAGTCAGTCAGTCTGAAAGCTTGTAGTCATATATTCTGGGTAATACTATAGATGACATTTGTTTGGGCTTTATTTCTGTCCTTGGGGTATAATAATGTCTAGTCAAATCTCCCAACATATTTGAGTTTTAAATTAATGATAAGGAAAGCAATGGGTTATTACAACAGACAAGCAACCTTCTTTATTCATTTGGATAGGTTTTAATATAAAGAACAGAAGAAGTAGCCAGGCTAGTGCCATCTAGTGCCTCCGCTCAATAAAATTTTTCTCCAGTGACTAGGTCAGGAATCAGAATACACTAGACGGTTTGCAAGAACTTTGAAAGTTGTAGACCACGCTCCGGCCAATCAGCAAAGAGCTGAACCAATTCGAGTTGTGATAGCAGACTACATACTCTATCCTCCTTTGGACTTCCTTTGTCAAATACAAACTTCGCATTTTTATTGCACCTTTAATTTGAAAGTTCATCTCGCAGAAACAACAATGATCTTTGACAGCCATGTTCATGCTCTGCTCTGTTGCTGTTTGCTGTTGTGCCGGGAATTACTTGGACACCACTGAGCGTTCCGGCGCATTACAAAAGCACGACCAAATAGCAGCGATTGGTTAAATAAAAAAGTACCTGCCTACCGTAGAGCGAACGAATCCTAATGCTGCGAGGTCAGACGGTTTCCACGAATTAAAACGAGCTGAAGAATCAGGCTAGAGAAGAATTACATTTGAATTGTTTACATGTATTGGATTTATTGGAGGATAACATTTTGAAGAAATTGTACAGTATATAAGCTGTTGTTCATCATATCATGTATCATTATATGTGTATTTTATTTTAATCCTTTTTGAACTGACTTTTGAAAACATATCAAGTTAATCAAATTAATTGTTATGTTATTCCACTTCAAAATCTATAAATTAAAGTGCTTGTACCTGATTTTTTTTCACAAATATAAGCAGCTCTTGAGGTCAAAATGTGTGCACATTAGCATGCTAGTTGTTGTTAGCTTTACCATCACAGCAAAACTCCGCTCTTGTCTCAGTGAATAATAAGGATGCTCAGAATGTATAAGGTAAGCCATTTCAAATTAAATAGTTCTGTTTTTGTTTTTTAAGTGTTTAAGTAAAAATCAATCAGCGTGTTTTTCGTTCATATTGCAGTAGGACCAATTTTTTTTGGGTGCTGACTTATGTCTTGGTGGTATTGATGGATCACATTGTTTTGTGTTGTTGTTGGGAGTGGGCGTCTGCTTAGCAATGCACGGCCGAAAAACAGTTGCATTAATGAGGAGCCCCATAACAGAGACAATGGAAGTGAACGGGACAGACACACAAAGAGACGCTGCTTTAAAAAAGGAGCTGGAACAAAACTGCAGCTCATCAATATCGAATAAACGCACGAGGAACAGACTTACATCAAACTCCATCAATAAAAATATTATCTATAACTACATTTACAATCAGTACAAGTAGATTTTAAAGAAAACCTATATGCAAAATTGACTTTTCAGAGCTTTTAATTCTATATTATACATCCATATATACACCCACTGCCCTGTACTTCATTATCCCATCTTATTTTCTTAATCGGTGACATGCATAGGATTCGGCAGCATCTTGTAGTCATTTTGGTACAAATTTTAAAAAATGTTTACGGTTATGTCAGCTCCCATTGGGCACCGTATTTTTCTAACATGTAACTTGTTTCTAATGCAGACTTGTTTCTTTTAGGAAGTTGTTTTAGATAAATATTATGATTTTAAATGTCCAAATTACACATGAGTGATTCACAGTGTCATACATTATAACTATAAAGGCAATACAAGCACAATAGGTCTTCTTCAAAGGTGCTGTGCCTGATTTTTCTTAAAATGTGTAAAACAGAACTAGCAGGGGTCCAAACTTATTCTTTTACTTATCGCTTACTGTACCTTATGCATTCTGAGCATCCTGATTATTCACCACAATGAGTTTATGAGTGCTTTTTATCACTTTCAAAGACCGGAGGGAAGTTGGCTGTCATAGTAAAGCTGACAACTGGCATAATTATCCTGATTATCGGATAATAAATTATGTTATAATTAGATGCAGACACTACACAGTGCATGTATTTTGACTACAGTAGTTCCTTATTCAATTTATCTGTACTGGAGCAAAACAAATTTTGCTGAAATACATGGAGAAAAACAATGAAATTCTGCGTGGATATTTCTAGATATGTAAGTTTACTTCATCATATTTAAAAAAAAAAACACATTTCTTATATTGGTTTTTTTTAGAACATCTTGTAGTATAGTAGTAGTGATCAGATTGTTGAGGTGTTAGTAGAGGCAGTAGTAGTACAATAGGAATTTACAGACACATATTTCTTCATCATACTCTTTGACATCTAACACAAATGAACACCATTATACAAACACACACGCATCACACATCAAATACCCCCCTTCTCCTCCTCCTTTTACTTCCCTATCAAGATGCATGTCTGTGTATGTTGTGTGTACAATGTCATTGATGTATATTCTTTCACAGGCTTAAACAAAGCAGTGAAAGCAGTGAGGTGTAACAATGTGAAAAATGTCTGAGTCTGCTATGGCTAAAACAACTGTACAAATAACAGCAGTTGGTGTAGTACTAATAGTAGTAGTGATAATAGTAGAAATAACATAGGAGAGGCAAATATAGCATTATAGTAGTAGTAGTAATAATAACAATAAAAGTAGTGCAGTAGGACAGTAACAGAAGATACAGTCAATGCTATGTTGGCCAGTCTATTTTTGTCCAAAGCACACAGCTGGGACAATATGCCATTTTTAGCAAGTCTAATTCGGTCTAATTTGAAAGTCTTTCTTTAGTGCTGTTTATGTTTAGCTTCTCTTCCTACGTGTATCTGCTCTATCTCTCAGTTTGACAGCCTTTTTAACACTCGATTTTAGTGTGAAAGGATCTGAACAATATCCAGTCCTGTATGAGGCTTTGAATCACAGACAAAAACCAAAGCACTCTGTCTTGTACCATGAAGAAGTGCTCTGCTTTCAGTGAGGAGAGAGGAGTCCAAATAGGAGACTGGATAGGAATGCAGTGGTTTCACACTTGCACTGTAAGAATTTGAGCAAAATGTATTTGGTTTTTGTTTGTATTTCATTGTTTTGTAAAGTAATTTCAATTGAATAAAAAAAAAAAGCTTTTTTGTTTAATCTGCATCGGCTTTCCTTATATGTACCATAATATTGACAGGTCCATTAATTTGTTTATTTCAATTACAAGGCTATTAGCTACAAAATAAAATAAAATAAATAATTGGAATTGCTTTCCATGAAACAGTTTTGTCCAAGTCCAAGTTAATGGGTGGGTGATATTGACAAAATGAATTATTTATTTGTCATGTTTTGACTCTCTGTAAGATAAAATACCTTTAAAGAAAAGTTGTTGTTTTTTTGTTTTTTTATTGAGTCAAAATCATATACAATGCCTCTAAGTGAAGAAATAACCTTATTTATTGAGATTATACAGCAAGTTTCCATTCTTTATGTTGTATCCACCGTTTTTGAAACAGTTTTCTTATTAGGCCTTAGCCCCTTTTGCTATTGCTTTTTCGGGTGGGGGGGGTCAATGTTGTGCACGATGTTGCCATGGCGATGAAGCATGTCAGCACATCCAATATGTGTTAATATTGTCTGTGTCGTGACAAGTACAGCCCAAAGCTGCAATAACACAGATACAAGAGGGAGAGGCGAGTCGTTAACGTGTGAAGTGTGGCCTGCGAGAGCCATTCAATGCCGCTTGCAGCTTTAATTGTAAATGGTATGCTTAAGTTAATACATCCCCTATTCTTCTACCATGTGCTGCAGAAACATGTGTCGTCATCACATAAGAGTCCTTAGTCTTCTTGATGATTAATTCCAATTCCATATACATATTCATGGTTGTGTGCTTCCTGTTGAAGATAAGGAGAAGATATAACATTTTGTATTGATATGGTTAACTGCCATGACAACAGCGCTAATTTGTCCAACTTCCTGATACCCGTGGGGTATAGTAGAGTATGTAACATTCTGTTCTTGTGCATGATGCCAGCCTCAGTGATTCCACCAAATGCTTCTTGTTTAATTTTCTATGGTGACTGATTTGCTCAAAGTAAAAATCCTTGACACGACTCTCATGTGTTGTAGCGCAGTAAACATGAAGTCCATACTGATGTAAACATACAGTTCATTAGCACAAGAGTGAAACTTATCTACTAATGTACAGAAGAGCCTAAAATACACTCAAAGATTTATACTATCTAATTGGGATGCTGTCCCTAATGAACACAAAACTTTGTCCAGTTGACTTAAAGGGTCCATATTACACAAATTTTTGATCTATGTTATAATGTTGTTTCCTCATTAAAAATATACCTGGAGTTGCATTTGTTTCTTTCACACATTTTTAACACATAAACACTGCATATTTAGGCTGAGTTCTTCTCTCCTTGTGATGTCATGTAGTAATATAGGAAGTATCATTAGTATTTCCAATCTCTGCTAAACAAAAAGTAAAAGGTAGCTTTAAAGCTACACCTACATGACATCACAAGGTGCAACAGAGCATTTTGAACTTTGGAGATGTAGACAGACTAAGAATAAAGGGTTACTCAAACATGTGTGAATGAAACAAAGCATAATTTCAGGTATTATAACATGTCTTAAAGCTCACAAGAGTCAATTTTGCTTAATATTGGACCTTTAATCTAACTTTTTTTTGCATATATTTTTCTTGTCAAATCCTCCAGAAGTGTGACCAGAAAGAAATCAGATTACTCACATCAGAGATAAATTTTTACTTGAAATTTCCGAAATGTTTTATGTGCATTTAAAGATAACCAATGAGTGTCTACTTTCAAATACCTATTCATGTGTTTATGTGTTATTTATGGATTTTTCCTGTTTTTTCCTGTCCCTTTGAAAGGTAACTATAAAAACATAAATTTTTTCTTTACCCTATAGTTTTACTGATATAATTTTAAATTCACACGCCCTCTCTTAGCTTCCTTTTATAGATGCTGCAGTGGTGTTTTGGGGAAGTGAAGTGTCCTTTGTCAGACCACAGGAGGCGCAGAGATAGGAGGGAGGGAGGCTGGATTACAATTCAACATGATGACACTAGACACTGAAAAATGAACGGTATTTATAAATAGGAATTATTACGTAACCACATTTGTACTATTTGGAAGCAATAAACAAAAGGTGTTATAATAGGTTATTGATGGCCAGGTTTGCTACACAACTATGAGGAAATATTAATAATACTGAAATAAGACATTAATTCTAGCTTGTTTTACATTTGCATTATGGATGTATTTCCTGTTTTTACCTTCGTGTCTACAGAATATATTTTATTTCAAATTAAGCAAAGTGAATCATCCAGCCCTCCACCGCTCACATTATTTTTAACTACTGTAGTGCAAATAAAGGTTGGACAATAATATTAGTTAGATACTGAGTTAGTAATTATTAGCTAAACCTTTATGATACTACAACATAATTAGCCTTAAGAAAGACTTCGCTCATAATGTACAAAATGTATAAAGCATAATTCAGCCTTTAAAACTTCTTAATAACCAAACCTTAACCATCTATCTATTTTCTTCCACTTTTTCAGGGGTAGGCAAAGATGCATCTGGAAAAGATACCCGAGCCATTTCACCTGGTGGAGGAGCAGCAACTCTACTCCGAGCTCCGTCTGTGTGACTAAGCATCCCACCCTGTCTCTAAGAGAGTGCCCAGCCACTCTGAAACTTGTATTCGCCATTTTGTCCTATTGGAGTCATTCTTAATAAACTATTTATATGAATTATGTCTTTCTTCGTGCTTCCTTAAGGCTTTAAATAGTGCAATTATTCTTAAGTGTTACCAAATACTGTCAATTGAGAAATTAAGCAATCTCTAACCCCTATCTTTAATTACACCTAATCATGACTAATACTGCTGATTTAAATACCATAATGTCATTAGTGTTTGCATTGTACTCACCCCAGCCAATCAGGATGTACCACCAGAAATACTTCCTCTGAGAGACGAAGGTCAGAGCCAGCAGAGTCTGCAGGTACATGCCCTCCACCAACAGCCAGAAGTAATTGGCCAAAATACTGAACTGAAAGAATGCCACAGCCGATTTACACGCCGTCTGAAAGAGAAAAACAAAACAGATTTAATAAAACTGAGGCACTGAGGCTTGTTTAGAAGTAGGAGTGCACTATACATCGCAATTGAATCAAAATACAAACTTTACTTGACTGTGAGCGGTTTTATATTGATATCAATTATTGGAATGTTTGTGTTTCTTGCACTGCTCCTTTAGATATGATTTAGTTTTTGTTGCCAATAATTTGAAAATACTAAAATTTTGCCCTTCAATTTGCATTCACTTCAGACGTCACTCTTACGAAAACTTTTAAGTACTTTCTTGAGCTACTTTGCACTTCTACTTGAGTATTATTATTTTGAAGTAATTTAATTTTTGAGTAAATTTTTCACTGCTCTACCCACATTAGATTTGTGCAAGACTGGCAATTTTCTTTTATAGATCAGACCACAGGAGTAACTGACCAAAATACTGCACTGAAAGAAAGCCGCCACAACAAGCCCACATTTAGCACTTGAACGCACAGTGAGGCTTGTACTGTCACTGTGTATTGATCCACCATGATCCCAGTACTCATGTTCATAACCCAGACATAATAAAAAATCATTATCTCTTCTGTCTCTAAAAGCATCTTTCACTTCCAGTTTATTACGTAAGGCTTCATGTTGAGGAAATCCCCCACTGTGTCCTGTATTGATTGGAGGATCATCGTGGCGAACAAGGGTGACTTTGTAGGTATCAACCGCTTTTGATTTCTTCAAGTGTTTCACGTAAAAAAAGAGAAACAGTAACTCCTAATGAACAACCAAAGAGTTACCTGTTCAAAATAATTTGGGGGAATGCAATACAGAAGATCAGGCAAGACAGTAACAGAACCAAATTGAAGTGCTAAACAGTTTGGTATAAATAGATAAATAAACAGAGACGGAAGAAGTACTCAGTTGTGTTACTTAAGTGAAAGTACAGATACCAGGGCAAAAAAAAAAAAAAAAACTCAAGTGAAAGTAAAAATATCACATAAAAAATCTGCTTAAGTAAAAGTATTACAGTGGCTGTTTAAACATGTACTTTTAGAGTAAAAAGTAAAAGTATTTTGTGCAAAGTTTGACATATAATAAAGCTTTAAATGTAGGGATTTTGACAGGCGGATCAGTGCAACGTCTGCAGTGATGCGGTCACTATATTGGACCATTGTGGCGAAAAGGGAGCTGAGCCGAAAGACAAAGCTCTTTACCGGTCAGTCTTCGTTCTTCCCCTAACCTATGGTCATGAGCTTTGCGTAATGACCGAAAGAACAAGATTGCAGATACAAGCGGTCAAAATGAGTTTCCTCCACAGGGTGGCTGGGCGCTCCCTTAGAGATAGGGTGAGGAACTCAGTCACACAGGAGGAGCTTGGTGTAGAGCCGCTGCTCCTCCATGTTGAGAGAAACAGCTGAGGTGGTTCGGGCATCTGTTCCGGATGCCTCCTGGGCGCCTTCCTTGGGAAGTGTTCTGGGCATGTCCCACAGGGAGGAGGCCACGGGGAAGACCCAGGACACACGCTGGAGGGACTATGTCTCTGGGCTGACCTGGGAACACCTTGGGATCTCCCCGGAAGAGAGGGAGGAAGTGTCCGAGGTGAAGGAAGTCTGGGAGTCCCTGCTTAAACTGCTGCCCCCGCAACCCAGCCCCAGATAAGCGGAACAAAATTGATGGATGGATGGATGTAGGGATTTTGATACATTTTGCTCAACAGAAACACTTATTTTTTTCTTAGCTCTTTTTATTTGTTTATTTTTTTGCTCAAACTATGACCTTGATAAAAAATAATCTTGTTTTCTGCAGGTCTCACACAATAATAAAAAATACATTTGCTTTTCAGTCATGTTCAGAAATGTAGAGGAGTAGAAAGTAAAGAGTCGTTAAAAAACAAAGTACTCTTCCATTAAGTTTTACTAGTCATAAATAAACAAACGAGTCATGTAAAACAAACCAATCAACTTAAGAGCAATACACTAAAAGGTAATATAAAGATAAGCATATAAAACCAATATTACTTAAAGCATTAGTCATTTGAGTATTTTATGTGCATTCTTCAGGCTTCATTCAGCATATATTGACTATTGCTACTAAACAGAGTATCTTTGTGATGGTTGTGTTGCCCAATCTATATCTATGCATAAATCACAAAAGTTCAACATCACAACAGCAGCTGGCTTGCAGGGCTAAACTAAATTGTTGATTTAACCGACAGAAAGTTAGAAAATCAAACAGTCATTGGTCAATATGCCAAGTGCATTAATCAACATTCAAACAAGTGAATGGATAACTGTCCCAGAGCGCCCCCTGTCCCTCCCTCCTGGTCATGCATGAAAAGTCATCATCTCTAGTCGTGTATCTTTCTAACCCTCTCCTCAACCAGCATAACTTCATGTTTGATTTTATATTTCTTTGTATTTAACCATTATTTACAGTGCATATGGCATGTTAGACTTCTCATTTTACTAAACCACAGTAATTTTATTTAAGATTTTTGTAAAAACATTCATACTCATTTTCCCAATTTGGAAATTTTTTAGGTTTAAAATTGTACTTCCCATTTGGTAAGCCTGACATCACACTATTACCTAGCATAACTCCTCTTACGCAAATTATTATCTGTCAAATAAAATGACAAGAAAACACATTTATTTTGTTAAAATTGTGTTTGAAATGTGTTTCTTACATGCAAATTGTGCCAAACGTTTGGGCAGAATGTCATCAGTATGTTGAAAACTCTCTACTTCCAGTCATTTTCAACATATTTTACAACCGTCCCTTCTTTATTGGTGTAAAAACTATAATTTATATTTACAACAGGTATTATCCCAACAAATTAAGTCAAAATTAGAGAATCATAAAAATCTGTCATACCCACTTTAATTGATAAAGATCCCTCTTTTTAATTTACTCATGAGTTTATTCAATATTTCTCTTCAATAACACGTCCCAGTCTTATCCATCTGGCCTCTGGCGTGTATTTATTCCTAATGGCATGTATTCAGGCAGAGGATCTTCCTATCATATGCATACCCCTTTCAGGTCAACATATGAAGTAGGCTTATGTATATTAGAACTAATTATACAGCCTTATGTAAGAGCCATGTATAATTAAAGGCCGATGCTGGACAGCCTTTCACACAACATGTTAGGGATGCAGCAAACAGAAATTAACATGAACCAAGATACAAGATACAAGTGCTATTGCCAAATGCATACATAATAATGCTTAAACAACCTGGTTTTGTTTTGAAAATAAATAAATTAATAAATAAATGAATAAATAAAAAATAAATAAATAAAATAAAAATGTCCCCAGTACAAATATATTGTAAAGGCATTACTTACAGTGAAAATTACTTTTTTTTTTTTAATTCTGTGTGAAAGAGGAAGTGTGGCAATAGCATGCTAGTTGTTAGCTCTATACCATGATTGTAAACTCCACTCTGGCCTCTGAAAGTTGCAAAAAGCACTTAAAAACTCATTGAGGTGAATAGTTAGGATGCTGTGTAATTCCACAATCGTCCAGGCAGGATCCCCATTTGAAATGGAGGGCTTAGACATCATCTATCTCCTATTTGCAACTTCCTCCCCAGACCTGAATCAAAACAGGGAAAATGATAGTGATGGCCAGTATGCTAACAGGTGTGAGAGCACCCACCAGGGGCCTGAACGATTATGGTAATATGACTCAGGCACAGTTCACACTTAGTGCAGTTCAACAGACGAAGCTAACAAACAAATACAGTAAACAAGTAGGTGTGTAGTGTTTAGTGTAGCTCCTTCCCTTCAGGCAGATATAAGGCACTGTCCACCAGCAATCTGACCAGAAATGAAGAAACAGCTTGTCTGATTTTGCATTGGCTATAGTTAGGACACTAGAAATTGAATTTTAAATTAGGGCCATAGCCACTGGAAACTCACATTTAAAAAAATCAGGTAGAGCCAAGGCTTAATTTGAGCCAAACAGGACGGCGCAACTGTCGGGCTGCGTTCCAGTAACTGTTTTCTTTGATCTGGTAACAGTTTTCTTTGATCCGTTAACTGTTTTCTTGGATCCGATAAGTGTTTCCTTTTATCCAGTAACTTAACTAGATTTTGAACGTGCTTCCCTCGTCTCCTCTGAATCACAACAGCAGTAAGTGATCAGACGCCACTCTCCTGTCTCATTCAGAGCTACGAATTTGTTTTGGAAATATACAAGCACCAGGAATGAGAGACCGTGACTGGATAAAAAACTAATCGACAGGAGACAAATCACAGAGTTAGGAGGCCGTAAAGACTTCCCTGACATTTCATTGGTGTAGCCTGCTTCGTGCTGGAGAATAGTCTGTTACTAGTACTACAGCCTTTTACCATCTAAAAAACATAGCAAAAATCAAAGGTTTACTGTCTAAATCAGACTTGGAGAAACTTATCCATGCATTTGTCTCAAGTAGGTTAGACTACTGTAATGGTCTGCTCACTGGTCTCTCCAAACGAGCTGTGAGACAGCTGCAGAACATCCAGAACGCTGTAGCTCGGGTCCTTACTCGAACTAGGAAGTACGAGCACATAAGTCCTGTGCTCAGGTCTCTGCACTGGCTTCCTGTGCCTCAGAGAATAGACTTTAAAGCAGCTCTGCTTGTCTCTCCATGGCCGAGCACCAAAGTACATCTGTGACATGTTAGTGTCATATGAACCATCTCGCACTGTGAGGACCTCAGGGACCGGCCTCCTGCTGGTGCCCAGAGTCAGAACTAAACAAGGGGAGTCAGCGTTTCAGGTTCATGCAGCTAAAACCTGGAACAGTCTTCCTGAACATGTGAGACAGGCCTCTTCTGTGACGCTGTTTAAATCCAGACTCAAAACATTTCTGTTTAACTGTGCATATAACTGAAAGGTTTTCATTCCGCACTCTTCTCTCCAATTTATGTCTCTCTTTTTTAAATTTTAATCTTCATGATTATTTATGTTTTGATTTGTTTTTATTATGATTTTAATGTATTTCTTATTCTGTAAAGCACTTTGAATTACTTTGTG